GTAACATATGTAACGCTCATTTATACAAGTGACGTAAAACAATCGCTCAACACGATCAAGTAGAGTTTTATGCTTTCACTTTCAGATGTGATGCGATGACGGTCGAGCAAAGAAAATTTAACTTCTAAAACTAAAATTGGAATATAATACAAAATAAAAAAAAATTTTAATTAACAAAATAAAATTTAAACGTGTGAACGAAATTATATTTTTTATCGCACATGACAGCGTCGCTGTATGTACTTCCATGCCGTATCTTCTGTACACTTCCGGTTGCGACAGTTGCTTCATTGTATGTATTCCTACTGAAATTCCGGACAATAAGAGAGACACATGTTGAGTTCAGAGTCGTAGTTGATCTTGCAGCTTTTGTATTGTTCCATTCAAGATCGACTTCATCGTGTCGTGGGTACAATCTCTCAGATATTGTATTATTATTGTTAATACAAACATTTATATGTATTTAATAATTGCTATTAATTGCAAATATTCTGTAAATATTTGTATTTCATTAAGAAACGTCTGACTTGAACTATTTGGAAAAATTATATTGCAATTAAGAATCCGAAAGCAAATAATTTTTCCGTGACAAAGCAATCTATGAATTAAATTAAATTTTATTTAGTATTTTTATTATAATAATCTAGAAAATAAACTAAACTTTATTGTTTCTAAATTTGACAGAAATTATTTCATCAACGAAGAAAGATTGAGGCAGAAATCGTTTATTGTAATTAAGAAGATAACGATTCTCATCGAAGATGAGAAATCAGGCGACGCTAGCATGATCAACATCGGTACGATTAGTATCCTGATATTCTTCCTAATCCTCGACAATTTCGAGGCAATTACAGTCGTAAACCATCATTCCGACGATGAATATATCCTTGAGCACGAAGTCCTTCGCAAAGACGCGCTCGTTGAAGCGAAGAAACTGGAGATATATTCTGGTAAGAATTATTTTTTGTCAATAACGTTACGTGTAAAACTATAGAATTAACCAGAATTAAATTCTCCTAGAATTTTTCTCAATATTATTCTATTTATACATATATAAAAATATAATCTTCCTACGCACATTAATGCCCATTTCTACCAATATAGATTAACTTTAATCTTGGTTCAACTTAATCTTCGCCTTTTTCTAAAAATTAGGAAAAGACGAAGAGTAAATTGAACCGAGATTAAAGTTAATCTACATTGGTAAAAACGGGCATAAGAGATCATTTTAGAAACGTTCAGCGTTTAAGAAAATAAACAACTTCTTATATATGTAAAAATTAAAATTTATATATGCACACAGGATATTTCTTAATATATAAGACATTAGAAATTTTATAGTGGTCTTATATTTTTAACAATTTTCATTCTTCTTTAATAATAACTTTCTAAGTTTAGATATTAATATTTCAAGAATTAATTTCAAATAATAATTTTGTTATATTTTAAAATAAAATTAAAAAAATTAATTTCTATTTATTTTTACTCAATTCCAATTTAATAAAAAGCTATCCGTTTACTTCATTGTTTATAAAAAGAAATTATTGATGCGTCTTGATATTCTTATCAATAAATTGAAGAAAGCAAATTTATCGAGGAATCTATTTTTCAAAGAATCTATTCCTTTCCAAATGTTACAATATATACTGATACATCTTAACAGTATTCTTGGTGCAGCCTTTTTTCCAATTTAGTCTAGTTGCTAAAAGCGTCGCATTATAACGCTCTTACCCGACTCCTACGACCGGTCTATAAAGCTTCCTTACGATACACAGAAATGTATTTATCTTACCTCCAAGAATAGCTGCTTTGATCCACCTAACCAGCGTCGCACGATTGACGTTTCAAAATTTTTGTTCTGTCAATCACGTCCTAGCCTGCGTGAACAAGAGAGGTATGCGTGAATAACATTCGCAAAGAACAGATGCGCTATTTTTGTATTTAAATCATAGCAATGCTCGCTATTTTATTTAAAAAAAATTTTGTTTAATAAATTTAACTTTCCATTTAATTTGCACGCGCTTCTACGTTCTATAAAAAAATTATAATTTATTTTTAATATATAGTAACAAATTGTATTAGGATACTAATTTGCTTTAAAATTAATTTTACAAAATAAATCTTGTCCTTAATACACTAAAGACGAGAAATTTTATGCTAACTCATCAACAAGTCATTCTTTTAAATTGTTATACTACGTAACGTATTAATGATTTGATAATATAGAAGATTATGTATACGTTATGTATTTATGATTAAAATCATCATTAATTACTAGAAATTAAAATGTGGTAATTAATAATAAATGTGAGAAATTAAAAATACAATTTCTATTGTTAATGCATGAAAATTCAATTTTCTTGATTTTTCCTGTTTGCTATAGATATTAGATTTAGGGCTTTTTTACGTTTTTTTCGGTACATTGTACAGTATACGAAAGCTCTGTCGTATATGTACGTTCACATTACATCGAGACCTAATGATAACACCGTAACAACGCGGCCAACTAAGCACGTGATTCTCATTACAATAATTCGAATTACTGAGGAAGTTGATGATTACCCTCTAATATTATTCGCGTGAATTAGGAATTGTCGGTCGTGCAGTCCTAATTTCTGTAATTCAATCCTTTAGTCGTGACTCGGAGAAACCTTGTAAAGACTGCCATACACCTGTTGCTTGTTATGTGTGAACGATTTAAACTTTCAATTGTTAATTAAATGATAAAAAAAATTGGTAATTATCGTATAATGCTGTTAACGGCAATTAGAAATTCTCGGTTATTGTGTGCGCAGTTCTCATATGATTCAATTAAAATTTCTCATCAAATATTGTAAATACAAAGAATACGCGATCTCTTATCGCGAATTTAGCACGGTCTAACGAGGCTCCGATTCGCGAAGGCGATATACAATATACATATTTGTGATCGATGTCGATACGACGATACATCTCTATCTCGTCGCGTCGCAAGCAGACAATTCGCTATGTCCGCGACACAATTTTATAAAAGATTACGTAAGGAGCCTCGAGATGCTAATTAACGTGAATCATGGATGCGGATTCGACGCGATTGTCATGTATTTTAATCACCGGCATCGAGGTTAATGAAATATAATCCTTAATTAATAAGTAGTCGTACGTTCAGCTTTATTCTTATGAATTCTCCCTGAGAAATACGGCGTCTCGCACGTGTCATTTTACTCGTTCAATGATGAAGACTGTAAATATTATAACAATACGGTTTTTCAAATTGCCGATCTTTCTTTAGCTCGAACTCTTTGCTCTTATTTAATCTCTTCCTCTCTTCCTCTCTCTCTTTCTTTCTCTCTCTCTCTTTGTTTTCCAATTATTTATAATTACTTATTATTTGCAGGACCCATTCCAGGATGCAAGCCTTGCGCCTACTCCGAGATGACTTACTGCAAGAATGGCAGCGTTATCAATGATCATTGTTGTTGCGATGGCAGCTTCAACAGTAGGTATTCAAACGGTTGCATGAAAAAAAAGTGAATAGTTTTGCAAGTCTAGTAATACTAATCTGACTATTTTTGTGGAACTTATATATATGATAAACTTTGCTTGCCTGAAAGTAAAAGATATTAGAGATATAAGTACATTACAATTATAGGAAATTTATTCAAGTTGTTACTTTTTATTATCTTATAGTAAAGTAAATATATAATCATACTATTCTCAAAACTGTAAACAACTCTCGAACAACTCTCAAGACTTTATTTGTATATTTTATTATCGCGCAAATAAATTTTGTCAGCACCATGCAAGGCAAAAAATACTCATTGATAAAACAAATTTGAGATGTACGATAATTTACAAATTGAGAAATAATAACAAATTGCAGTAGCATAAAATTTATTTTATGAAATGTAAAAAGTATCTTACAGTATGGCTACGACGACCGTTCATTTACCAGAAAAGTAAAGTAAATTTTACGTAAGTGAGCGCCTGTCCCTATATATGTACCTATCAATTTCATCAAATTTACTAGAATTCCAGCACATATTACTTTACCTTTTCTCCATGTGGAATGATAATATAATTAATGACACTCCAGATAAAGTTACACGCGAGCGCCCGTAACTCGTTTTATGATGGATTAACGAAGCAGCACGTGATTTATCTCGGCGGTAACAACAAGCCGATCGAAATCGGCTTAACCTTCTCGACGACGGAAGTTGTATTTTCCGCTCTCGTCCTTCATTTATTCATGCAGTGATGAAGTCGTATGAAAAACTACAGTCCCCGGCTGACGAATTCGTGCGTGAACAATCGGCCGTGGCGAGCGAGCGCTTGTGCAACCGCGCTTCACGGAAATTTAGAGCAACGGCAATGATAGTGAGCGCAATTTCACGATTTGCACAATGCCAACGCGAATCGTGCGACGTAATCGCAATTATTTTTAGTCGATACACTACGTGCCGTTACAACTCGAATTGCATGTTAATACCTTGAATAACCGTGGGATCGTAGGACAAAATGCTTACGTATGTTATAGAATTCCTCGCGGTATCCTTAAAGATACTTTTAGAAAGTTTCGGAAGCTTATAAAAATCATTTATGCGTTGCTCAAATGTAAAAAATGTAATATAAAAATAATATCAAATTGGAAGAGTATAATAAATAAATAAATTTTTAATATTTGGTAATTTGGTATTACGAATGTTATGTAGTTCCATATAGAATATTACGCTAAAATTGTGATAAATTTATGTATTTAAAGGAATAAGTCATATCGCTTAAATTTAGTCTAATCCTATATTTTTATGCTTCATTAAAGAAAAATCTATTTTTTATATTATTTTTCAATCACTTAACTAATTCAATAAAGTGTATTTGTTATTAACAAAATTTGACATCGTTCGACATCTAGAAATAAATTATAGTATTAGAAAGATTAAGATTGCAAGAAGAAGGATGCTGAAATTACATAACTATCAATTTCCAAGTTTAAATTGTTGTAAATCGCAATTTAAGTTATTTTAAATTTAATCCTCCTTTAACCTGAATAATTATTTAAACGCCATATAATTTATCGACTTAAAACCCTATAATTTCTTTATATGTCGAGAAGAGTTTAATTCCCTTTTTTTTTTTGAACGGAAGGGCAGTCACCTGTTCAGGAAATCATTCCTCGTCGTAATGAGTTATCCTTGTCCTTCCACGCGCGTGTATAAGATCTAACGAGTGATTCATCATTCACTCGTGCGAGTCACCGAGAGTCACTTGAGTATTCCGCGTGCTTCCCGAACTCTTCACAGGACTATCGTTCATCGACCTGTACTATCTTTGCTCGAATTTCTAATTAGCACGGTATAACACGCCATTTATGAAACAATATTGGATGAATTTACTTCAAAGTAAACATTAAATGGCAATGTTAATACATTTGCAAGTTTGTACATTCTTGTACACTTCTCAGAAGAAATGAACATCGATAATCAAACTAAATTATAAACTTATTTCTATCTCGCTAGCAAGCTTAATGAATTTAAAATGATTAATTAAAAAAGAGATATTTCAAACACTTGTGATTCTTTTATAAAGATTTCTGATTATAAATTATATTTTTAAATTATATGTTGACATGAATATATACGTATGAAGAAAGTAAACTTTTATGCCTATAAAGTTTTTTAAAAACTTTCAAGAGGTTTTTCGATTAGTATTAGTTTTTAAAAGAAAAAATATAGAAATACTGTGTCGTGTGTAGAATTAAAGGTGTTTCTAAATTACTTGTGAATTATTTGTATTTTCATTCGTTTAAGACGTTGAATTCGTTGTCATTGCATGACCCGCATGAAGATTCTATAGGTGTACGAAGTTGCATTGTTGCACGCAGCAGCTATGCACGTGGAATACCTAAAACTCGAATCACCTTCCAATCGCACCTGTGAATCACCCGTGCGTTTTGTGCTCGTTTCTAATCGCTTGCGATCGATTAAGCATTTGTGTCAAATCATTCATGTTATTCTTTCCGGAATTGATAACGTGCCGGAAGCCTCCGATATCGTTAGGTAAATTAATTATCGTCCCGCAAAACCGGTTAATTATCGCAACACTTATATTTAATGGAGATTTGCGTTTCAAGCCCCTCCGAGATGTGCGTAAAATTATGTTTGCTACGCCTTAACGGCACAATGCCTTCGTGACGTCGTAATTTCCTACTGCAATTGCACTACTTACTCAAGTACTATTAATCTATTATTTACAATAACTCTGGTTATTAACTGGATTAAAGAATAATGGGTAGATGGCCGTTTAGAAAATCATAACATGATTAATGAGAGCTAGCAAAAATATAAGTAATATTTAATTATAAAAAAAGATAATATAGCCAGAATTACATCGATCTCATATTGAATAATAAAAATTGAATGTATTGGCCATTACTTTGCTTGAAGTTGGCAAATTCCGAAATATCAAAGTTTAGAAAATACACGTTAAAAGAAAACTGCTTGTCACAAGAGTGTAATTTATCTGTTTGTTGTTTCAGAAGTGTTTCCCTTCGTCGAGCACACTTGTCGCGTGGGACCAGAGGAATGCAAGGTGCACGCTGAAGACTGTGCAGAATATACGAGACTGCGGGAATGCTGTTGTCATTCGTACTTGGCTTCCACCTGTAAGCGCTTTTAGGCGTTTGTGATAGACGCTCTTTCTTGTCATAAATCATACAATTATTGAAGTTATACGGTATCAATTGGAGATACTTGTCTACTTATAGCATAGCATATTGCAAAATATGAGTTTAAAAGCAGGCATTTTATTGATGCAATTTGATTAAAACTTCATCTAGACGATTAAGCGAGGCTGATTATAGAACATAAAGATTATGTCTTTTTTAAAAAATGTCTTTTTTATCGACATTATTACAAAGATTATTCTATGATTAATCTTTGTAATAATGTCGCTAAAAAAGACATTTTCTTATCTCGGCTAATTTCATGACACAAAATGCAATTTTTTCAAAGTAATACAAAGTATAATTTTTAGCTAATTATAACTTCGTGATACGATATCATAGCAATGTCATTTGTAATCCCAAGGGTGTCGATATGCAAATGCAAGAATATACTTTGGAATCATGCGATCCGCGAACTATGCTCGAATTACGAACTTATTATCGCACGCGGTGTCGACTTTTAAATTGAATGGCGATAGTATTGTGAAAGGGATATATATTCTGTAAGATCAATTATATAATTATTTTTATTCTTAATTATATTATTATATATCAAACATTTTTATTAACACTTTCTGCGATGTGTGATCTAAGTTTTTCGGACGGTGAGCTGGACTTTCTGTTTTTTATAAAAATAATTTTTGAATTTTTAATTAAATAATATGTTATAAATTACATTTTACATAACAAATATAGAATATTGTCTGTTCTCCACGTAACAGACAAATCATCTAAAATTGATGCGGCACGGAACGTATTAATTGTAAAATCTCTCTATCCGTCTTATGCATTTTTAAGTAAATAAATTTCTTTGTTGGATTCATTATTGCAAAAATATTAAAAATATTTCTGTGCAATTACTAATATTTTAGAATATTATTTCATATTGTCATATAGTTATTACATCATTACAATACATTGTAATAGCAAATTAATCAGAATTTCTTTTGCAGGGAAACACCTAGCGAGTGGCACCAAATCGCGGGCCAGTATGAATATCATCAAATTTGTGATGATCCTTGTGATGATTCTCAGGTTACATCTGTCGTTGGCCTAAAACGCACAGCACCAAAAATTTTGTATATTATTAATTATTTTAATAAATTGTTTTTATTACTGAGATCCAAAGAAACTAGCAATCCTTCAATAGAAATTCGACTTTAAATATAATATTTAAATTATATTTAAAAAAGCGAATATATGTAAGGCAAACGAAATTAGGAAGCAAGAGAAAAAGATAACATTATTTTTTAAATACAATTTTTTAAGATATATTATTTATAGAAAAGATACTGATTGTGATAATACGGGAAGGTTAAGTAACATTGAACATTTTAAATTTTTCGAGGTTTCGTTTTCTTGGATGATAAAAATTAAGTGTAATGTACATGAAACATTATTTTTATTAAAAAACACACTTTTAATATTTTTCTAAAAATAAAAGCCAATTTTTTACATTTTTAAATGTAAAAATATGTCGATACATGAAATGTCATTACATTTTCTTGTTGTTGCCAATTGTAGGTAGTATTGCTTTGGAAATGAATTTTTAAACATATTTTTAGGTTCCGTAATTATCTATGAGTAGTTTTTTTAGTGATATGTCTTGTTCCAATAGCTTTTAATCTATCTCGTAATGTACTGTTCGAAACTCTCAACAAAATAAGAAAATGTTCGATACTATCAAACAAAAACAAGAAAATATCCGATGCTATCTAAATGATGTACAACGAAAAAACAATATATAAAATGAGTTTTAAAACAAGAATGATATTATAAACTACAATTTAAAAAATAATAGATGTTATATTGACTAAAACTAAAAACAAAATTCGACTTACATAATGTGACTAATTAGTATAAACAGTTAATCTTATGCTGGCATAAACAACAGTTGTTATGTTACATAATAAAATGCATAATAACTCACAAACACTGCCGTTATTCTCAATATAAAGAGGTCTCATGTGTGAGTAGATTTGCCAATAGTTTAACAAAAGCTGTTACATGCATTTTAAACAAATTCTTATCCGATATCACTCGACCTTCCTCTATGAATTGTGTATATGTACATACAAATGAGGTGTAAATATATTTTGCGCAAATTTTCAGAGTTTTAATTATAAACAAAATATTATTATGCAGATTACTGATAGTTTCTGTAAATAAAAACTTATGGACCAGTACAAAAAGTTACAAATCTAAAATAAATATGTCTCTCTCATAAAATATATTGCATTGTATCGCCGAGTAAGAAAGATTTAATGCAATGTTGAACGTTTCGTGGTAATATGACGATGTACGAGATTGTTAGTGGCACGCGATCTATTGTCTGAGGCTTAATTGTTATTATGACAACATTTACTATACGTGACAAATATAAGAGATATATTTATACTTTAAACTCCATTAAATATATATCATTCCTACAAAAATTAATTTCCGATATGTCAACAATGAAGTGAAAAAATACTAATTTTTAATCTTGAAAATTAAGTAATAGAGTCATCTTTTAAGTTAATATATATTAAATTTCAATAAATATTACATACTTTGTGTTTTTGAAAATTAGATATTTGAGAAAAAAGATGTATCGCATGTATTTAGCACAAAATTACGAACTTTTGTTAACAATGTTCTGTAAAATTGTAAAAAATACCATGTCAGCAATTTTTTTACATTAAAATTTTTCAAAAAAATTTTTAATTTTATTAAACTTTAAATTATTTTAAATTTCTTAAATATGCATAAATATAAACGGCATGCTGGCATAAACAACATGCATTATTCTACTATTGGTGCTTATGCTTAATATTGAATGTGCTTGGTTTATCATGAAATTGTTTTCTTATCATAAAAGCTTAATAATTCTATGAAAATAAAATTGCCTGGACCTTGTAGCTAATTCACCTCGTTTCGACCTACATTTCTCAATTTAATATACATACGTTCCAATTCTACTTTAAAATTGTAGATATAGTTGAATATCAAATTTTTTTCATTCGTAATGTTAAGCGTCACATAATAATTAAATTGATAATAAAATTTAAATAATATTAATTGAAGAAACATCGTAAATCAGTCTTTTACGAAGATTATCATTTTTTTAAATTAAAATTATTAATTAATTTTTTAGGTAAAAAGTTACAGTAAAATTTTATATTATACAAAATTTTACAAAACTTTAAATTTTATATAATATGATATAATATGATATAAAATTATGTAATTCTTTTTTTTAAATTAATAGGAAATATAGTATACTCGCGCATGCGAGTTTTGTTTATTTTTGCGGAGGTCAGTCGGTCTCGACAAGTTACGTTTATAGAGGTTCATATAACGACTGTAAATATAATAAAATTTGATAATGTATATAATAATATATATATGTATCCAAATACAGTAAGTAATACAAATATAGTAAATTTTAAAAACATATAATTGTGAAAAATATATAAATATGTATATATTTATTTGCAATTATTTGATAAAGCAGAATATTTGATGAGAAATAATTATTTGTTTCTTGTTTAAACAATTTTTATAATTTTTTAAATGAAAATAATCATATTATATGCACCGTGAGGACTGACAAAATTATTCATGAAGATAGTTATTTTCCAATATCAACATGTACATACGTCGCCTGCATTTTTTTCTATTTTGGACTCACCGACACATAAGAAGAGAAAGATGATCATCAACCAGTTACGAGTAACGGGTACATCGACCGCGTTCTACGAGGAAGGTGAGGCTCAGCTAAAAGTTACGTGGGTTTATGAAAGAAATCGAAGAGCACGAACAGTGAACGATCTCATTTGTCTGAAAAATCTCAGCCGCGTCAAGAGCTGCAGCAAGTGCGCGCGGAAACTTTAATCTCGTTCGTTTTTTTTTTAATGAGAAAATGTCACTATTAATTCTTTTCGGCGTTTTATTGCAATGTTGTGCATTTGCTGTATCGGGTGAGTTAATTTACTCAATAATTATTTAATTGCATATCAAAGAAAACGATATTTTCTGTAACATGCTGTAAAAAAGAAGTTTATTAATTAAATCGTATTTAAATTGTATATAGATAATAATTTGTCGTCTTGATATGACTTCTCAACTTGTTTGAATAATTTTTATCGCAAAATTATTGAGCACATTTATTGTGTGATTTTGAAAAATGCTATGTAATGATATTTTATTTGTGATAATAATATTATGTGTCATCTTAATGTGTATAAATAAGATAAAGATTTAATAATTGTTTAAATATATATATATATATATATATTTTGTATAATCCTAGATCGTTTATGTCATGAAAGAAGGAATAGTTAGTACATCGTCCCTATCTTCTACAGGAACGCGGGACAGTGATGTGGGATCTGTCGG